AAAAAAGTTAAAGACCAAAAAAGATCTAAGAATTGAAAAAAAGGAGACAAAACAAATTGAGCACCAACTGTGCCTTTCCATAGAACAACAGAAATCCACAGTACAATTGTACAAACCATACTGCTTACATACATAGATATATCTCCCCACCCCACTCCTTCTCCTGACCTTCTTAACTCAATAATTCCTTCCTTTTGAACAGGTTCTTTCCATTTTTCCGGTATCTGTTGTACCGGGAAATAAATCTGTTAAGATTTTATTTTCTCTTTCAGGTTGTCACACTAAGGAAACAATATGATGTTTGCACATGTGGATCTTATTTACTTCACTTTTTACCAACCATCTTGGTCTCACCCTGAGTAGCCAACCAGGTATTTTGCCAAAAGTTAAAGAAAATTGCTTTAATGTTATTTTTACTGATTCATGGAAATCAGTTTAGTTGTCTTTATTTTTTTTTTTTAATGTATTTAATACAGGATCTCACTACACAGATTGGACTCATAGTGATCCTCCTGTTTTTCAGCCATCCAAGTGCTGAAATTACAGGTGTGTGCCACCATGCCCAGTCTCAGGCACCATCTCATTGCGCCCTGGGGGTGGGGCCAGCACGGCACAATGGGGATTGAACCCCAGTCCCTGTGTCTGCCTAAGCAGGTGCTTTAAAGTTGTGTCTTTTAATGCCACCAAAGAAGCCATTTCTACAGTGACATTATATTTATTACCAGTACCGCTAATGAAAATGGAAGTTGAGCTATTATCTGTCTCATCAGTACTTGAGTCTCTCACCAAAGCATAAAGTTTGAAATTAGCAGCTTTGCTCTCCAGATCTCTTTTGATAGATTTTTCCAGTTTCTTCATTTTGCCTGGCTACAGTCTGGTGAGACACACTGATTTTAGAAAAGCTTATTTTTTTTATAGGACAAATTATATCTGCCAAGCTTTTCATGCATTGCTTCCTAAACTCATCAGTGAATGATTCTGACTTTTTTGAGATTAGCTACCACATCACTTTTCTAAAAAGTCCATTTGAGTTATAACTTTAATTTTTTTGAGTTAAGACTTCTCAGTTCTGCTATTTTGGCTTTATGAAATATCCCTTGATGTGCATCAAAGCTGGCAGAAGGTTTTTGTATGTCTTTTCAAATGATACTCTTTGAGAACTAACACAATTGTCTTACAAATTAAATATGTAACTCATTACTATTTGTTTTAATAAAAAAAGTATTTATCTGTCCTTTTCTTGTTGAACATTCTTTGTTCATTCACAGTTTTTCTTTTTGTAGGGGTTCTGTTTTCTTTTGATATGATGTTGAAGCCGTACAAGAATAAAAAGGTTACAGCTCAGCAGACTAAGCACCTGCTTAGGTAAGCACAGGGACCAGCCTTCGATCCTCAGCACCACATGACATGCTGTGGTTTTCAAAAAAAAGATCTAAATTATTTATTATGGATTTTTCAGTACTATATAGTGTACATATGTTGTTGGGATTACATAGGTTGGGCTGCTAAGATAGCTCAGTGAACTGAAGTGCTTGTTTAGGCAAGCACAGGAACCACAGTTTGAGCCCAACCCCCAGGGTGTTCTAAGCAGGCCATGGAATCTAGGCCTCGTGGTGCAGGCCTGCCTGTAATCTCCAGCACTGGGGAGGCTGAGAGCAGGAGGGCTGCTATGAGTTGAGCTGTGTAGTAAGACCCCGTAACAACCAAATACATTTTTTTAAAAATGTAGGTTTACAAGTTAAAAAATGGTTAAGAATAGGGGCCAACCAGATAGTTTAGTGGATTAAAGTACCTGCTTAAGCAGACACAACTGGTGTGCCGTGGTGGCGCGCTTCTGTAATCCCAGGGTTTGGGAGTCTGAAAACAGGAAGTTTAGTGAGACCCTGTAATAAAAAATACGAAAAGAAAATGCTTAAGCATATTAGTGTTTTTAAAACTGTGAGTGGGGCCAGGCAGATAGCCAGAGGGTCTGAGTGCTTGACAAGCTCAAGGACTCAGGTTCGATCCCTGATACCTCATGCATAGCGAGACCCTGTACCAAATAAATAAAAGATTAAAAATAAATATGTGGGAAAGGTTTATAAGAGTGCAAGGAGGGTGTGTGTGTATATATACTAAAATACACCGCTACTTCCCTGATTTTTCACTTATCTCGGGGCTGTCTGGAATGTAACCTCTGCAACAAGTGAGGGACCACTGTAGCCCCTGTGGTGCCCCTCCTCTTTTTTATTTTTTTGTTTTATTTTATTTTATTTATTTTAATTTATTATCTTTTTGAGACAGGGT